GGCACGAGGTGGGAGCTTCTGCATGGCCATCACTCACCTTATTGTTACATGGCAGCTGGGGGGCGGGAGGGGAGCTACTTGTGATGCAGCAGGGAGGGTGGCCTTTCTCCTGCCATGGAGGGCACAGAGGCAGGGTGCTGGGGCCCGTGTGCCTCCCCACCGTAATGCTGGGAGACCTGCTCTTTCTTCTCAGGAGCCTCCATGGGGTCCTTGCTTCCTCCAGCATCATGGGAGCGCTGGTGGTTTGGCTGATGAACTACAAGCCAGTCTTGTTTGGGTTCCTGTTCCTTCTGCTGTTGCTAAGCAACTGGCTGGTCAAGTATGAACCCAAGCCCGCCCCCTCAGGGTGCCAGAAGGTGAGCGAGAAGGGGATAATGGGACATTTACAGCCAAAGTGGGGGCGGGGGGAGGATGTGGAAGGTGCCAGAATAAGGGGGAAAGGCTGAGGAATCCAAGACTTTGGTCTAAGTCCCCGCCTTTCAGCTTCTGCTTGGTTGATGGTGGGCCAATCACTTCTCTCCCCAAAGCTTCAGTTGGGTCAGCTGTAAGGGGACACTCCCTGTACCCGGCTTCATGTTGGTTGTCAAAGCCGTTTGGGAAGCAGAGATGACAAAAGTGGAACAGGTGAACGGGACAGACCAGAGACGCGAGCACACAGATGGGCATCTGAAACGCCCTATTGGAGACAGCGGGAATGTATAAAACACCTTGTAGTGCGCTGTGGATGTGTAGGCATAGTAGAAGGAGCTTAGGAACTGGGCCTCAACATCAACGCTATTGGCAGTTCACCTGGGATAATCCTTTGCTGCAGGGGTGGGGTAAAGCTTATTGGAAGCCTGGAAGCATCCCTGGCCTCTACCCACAAGAGGCCAGCAGCACCGCTGCCCCATTTGTGACAAACAGAAATATCTCCAGACAATGCCGAATGTCCCCCAGGGAGGGCAAAATTGCCTCCCATTGAGAACTACTAAAGAAAGGCACAGGAAAATAAATACTAAATGCAGGATTACCATTGAAAAGAGGCTGCTCGGAGGAGAAGGACTTCAATTGTATTTGTGACATTTTATTTCTTTTTTTTTATTAAAAGATTATTTATTTGAAAGTCAGAGTTACACAGAGAGAGGAGAGGCAGAGAGAGAGAGAGAGAGAGGTCTTCCATCCACTGGACATCCACAATTGGCCACAACGGCCAGAGCTGCGCCGATCTGAAGCCAGGAGCCAGGCGCTTCCTCCAGGTCTCCCACATGAGTGCAGGGGCCCAAGGACCCGGGCCAGCCTCCACTGCCATCCCAGGTCACAGCAGAGAGCTGGATCAGGAGAGGAGCAACCGGGACTAGAACCGCGCCCATATGGGATGCTGGCGCTTCAGGCCAGGGCTTTAACCCGCTGCACCACAGTGCTGCCCCGACATTTTATTTCTTCAGTTGGTGGGATAATATCAACATTTGTTGATTATCTACTCTTTTTTTTTGCGTATCTGAAATGTTTAGATTTTAAATGTTTTTAAAGACAAGTAGTTTGTAGCTGAAAAAAAAAAAGTGTTCTTTATTGTTAAGGAGCAGGAGGCAGGTGAGGGTTAGAAAGACAGGGGGGGGCCGGTGCTGTGGCACAGTAGGTTAATCCTCCTTCTGTGGCACCAGCATCCCATATGGTCGCTGGTTGGGTCCCAGCTGCTCCACTTCCGATCCAGCTCTCTGCTATGGCCTGGGAAAGCAGTAGAAGATGGCCCAAGAGCTTGGGCCCCTGTGCCCACGTGGGAGACCCAGAAGAAGCTCCTGGCTCCTGGCTTGGATCAGCTCAGCTCCGGCCAGCCATTGCAGCTACTTGGAGAGTGAACCAGTGGAGCTGGGCTGATCCAAAGCCAGGAGCCAGGAGCTTCTTCTGGGTCTCCCATACATGTGCAAGGCCCCAACGACTTGGGCCATCTTCTACTGCTTTCCCGGGCCATAGCAGAGAGCTGGATCGGAAGTGGAGCAGGCAGGACTCAAACTGGTGCCCATATGGGATGCCAGTACTTCAGGCGGTGGCTTTACCCGCTATGCCACAGCCCCGGCCCCTAGGATAACATTTATAAACCACTTGACATGGAGCAGGTGTTTGGTGCAGACTGGCATTCTCATTATTAACCAACGTTTCACTTTTCCCTGGGGCTGGGGAGCTCAGGAGGAGGCAGAGAAACCAAAGACCCCAGAAGCCAGCCCCACCAACACCACCATGAGCCCAAAGGAACTGGAGAGGTTGAAGGCCTGCTTTGCCCTGCAGGACAAACTCCTCGAACGGCTTCCTGTGCAGCGAAATGAAGCTGAAGGTCTTAGAAAACCAGATGTTCGTCCTATGGAATAAAATGAGCCGCCACAGACGCTCAAGCAGACACCGGCAATTTCCCTCGAGGAGACACAGGAGGAGGCACGGCTCGACGGTCTCCACCTTCTCCGATTGTACTTCCATCTCCCTCGCCTAATGAAGAGGGGGTGGGCTCGCCTCTGCTGCCATGACCTTGACTCTGCGTACTGGCCTGTTTTGTGTCGCGAGAACGAAACACGGGAGGCTGGGTTTATTTGGCTTCTAGCTCTGGAGGTCCCAGAGGATGTTGCTAGTGTCAGCTCCTGGTCAGGGCTTCGTAGCAGCCAGCAGCTGTCCAGGCGAGTGTGAGAGGGAAGTCATGTGGGGGAGGATGAAGGAAAGCAGAGCTCATTCTGTAACAATGGCTCCAGTGCTGTAACTCTCTCAGTAACCCACCCAGGCCTGTGATCCCTGATCCAGTCCCCCGAGGCAGCCTTTAGTCCCTTCCAAGGATGGTGCCCCATCCCCCAGGACCTAATCACTTCCCATTAGGCCCCGCCTCTAGAAGATTCCACCACTTTCATACTAGGGACCACCCCATACCAGGGACCACGTCTCCAGCGCATGAACCCTTAGGCAACAAATCATAACCAGACTGCAGCGCCCGGTAAAACCCCATCAAAGGCTGTTAAACGTTCCTGGTGGATCACACTGTAGGGTGCCCAGGAGTCAGGAGGTGGCTCAGAGGCTGAAAAATCATCGCTGGAAAAGATAACCTGTGCACAGCCGGTTAGCAGGGTGGCAGCTAACACAGGCACAGGGCTGCACAGCCCAGCCCTTCCTCTCAGCTGGGCCACCTCTACCCTGGTCTAGGGACCTCTGCCGGTTCCCCTGAGTGTCCTTGCTGCTGCCCCGGCCCCCCGGCTGCACCCACTCTGCACCCAGAGACCAGAGCAGGCTCCTCCAAGCACGGCTCTGACCATGTTCCTTGCCTGTTCTTGGGCCCGCATCTCACTGCCATGGCTGACCGATGGACCTCTGCTCCTTCCCGTGATGGTCAGGCCCTCCGTGGCCTGATCCTTTCCCCTTGTCTGGTCCCTCCCCTCTCACACCTTGAACTCCATGTCAGCTCCTCCTAAACATCACTCATTTGTGGACCACTTTTGTGTTTCCTGCTCCAGCCAGGAGCCACCTGAGTCACTCAGCGCTGTTCCTTTAAATGCATTGCTTTTCCTAAATGGGTTTATCAACAAAGGAAAGTAAATAATAATTTCTTTGCAAATTAAAACAAAACCAGTATCTTTGATTGAAATAGAACACAACTGTAAACAAATAAAGACAGTGAAAACAAAATCATATTAAGTTCCACTGAAGGGTCTGAGATTGTAAGTTTTGTATTAAAAAGAGTTTGTGGGGAGGAGCGGTGCTGTGGCCCCAGCAGGTTAAAGCCTCGGCCTGAAGCACTGGCATCCCATATGGGCACTGGTTCTGGTCCCGGCTGCTCCTCTTCTGATCCAGCTCTCTGCTATGGCCTGGGAAAGCAGCAGAAGATGGCCCAAGTCCTTGGCCCCCTGCACCCATGTGGGAGACCTGGAAGAAGCTCCTGGCTCCTGACTTTGGATCAGCACAGCTCCAGCTGTTGCAGCCACTTGGGGAGTGAACCAGCAGATGGAACACCTCTCTCTCTCTCTGTCTCTACCTCTCTCTGTAACTCTGTCTTTCAAACAAATAAAAATAAATCTTAAAAAAAAGTGGGGGCAGGTGCATGACACAGCAGTTAAGTCACCACTTGGATTTCCACATCCCATACCTGGAGTCCCAGCTTCACTTCGACTTCTGATCCAGCTTCCTGTTATGCGCACCCTGGGAGACAGCAGGTGCTGGCTCAAGTACTTGGGTCCCTGCCACCCACTTGGACATAGTTCCTGGCTCCTGACTTTGGCCTGCCCTGCCTGTTACAGGTATTTGGAGAGTGAACCAGCTAATGGGAGCTCTTTTTCCTCTCTCTCTCTCTCTCTCTCTCTGTCTTTCAAGCAAAATAAAAATAGAAAAAAAAGTAAAATATTTATTTATTTATTTATTTGAAAAGTGGAGCTACAGGGAGAGACAGAGAGATTCTTCATCGGCTGTTCACTCTGCTCATGGCTGCGATGGTTGGGATTGGGTCAGGTCAGAGCCAGGAGCCAGGAACTCCATCTGGGCCTCCAGTGTGGGTGGCAGGGGCCCAAGCACTTGGGCCATCTTCCGCTGCCTACTCAGGCGCATCAGCAGGGAACTACATTGGAAGTGGAGCAGCTGGAACTCATACCGGCGCTCCAACATGGGATCCAGCTTCATGGGTGACAGCTTAACCCACTGTGTGCTGGCACACACACTTTTTTTAAACAGTGAGATTAGCAAGTGTGAGACTATGAAGAAGTTATCACTGGACGGAGACTTTTCTCCAGAGGGAGCAGGAGATGACATCTGTCACCCAGTGTGTGACGTGTGTGACTGAATGCTGTGCTGCTGTCCCGCCTCGCAGCACAGTCGGACACACCTGAAGCAGACAAGCCCCGGACACATCCGCACCTCTGCTCACAGGGTTTCTCCCCTCGGGATCACTTCCCTTTCCATTTCCTCCATCCGACCTCCTCACTTCTTCCAAATCTGCCTCCGCCAGAAAGCTCCCCTGCCCCTGCTGCAGTGAGCCCCCCCCCCCCCCCGCAGTGCTCAGCACGCAGACGGCAGCGCGTCCTGCTGCGATGTGATCTGGACACGTTGCCAAATTCCCTCCCCACCTCCAGTGAGACCACGAGCTCTGAGCACAGCACATCATCTTGTGCCTGTTGTTCCCCGCGTCACTTGGTACAATAGCCAGTATACACTTGGTGCTCCATAAATAACATCTACGATTGTTGATCATGGTTTTATGTGCCCTGCCATTTTCTCTGCCCTCTTATTTTTATTCATGTGGGAGACAGAGACAGTGACACACACGCACACACACACACACACACAGAGTTCCCACTCACTGGTTTACTCTCCAGGTACTTGGAGCAAGCAGGGGGACTGAAACCAGAAGCTGGGAACCCCATCCAGGTCTGTCACTTGGGAGGCGGGAGCCCAGTCGTTTGAGTCATCACTGCTGATCCCAAGGTCTGTGTTAGCTGGAAACTGGAGTCAGGAGCCAGAGGTGAGCACCAAACCCAACCACTACATTTGGAATGCAGGCGTGCTAATCGGCAGTGCTAATTATCAGTCCAAAAGCCTGCCCTTGCCCCTTAATGTTTTTTTTTTAAGATTTATTTATTTATTTGAAAAGCAGAGTTACACAGAGAGAGAAGGGGAGGCAGGGTGGGTGGTGGTCTTCCATTTGCTGGTTCACTCCCCAATTGGTTGCAACAGCAAGAGCTGCACCAGTCCGAAGCCAGGAGCCAGGAGCTTCTTCCAGGTCTCCCATGCCAGCGCAGGGGCCCAAGGACTTGGTCCATCTTCCACTGCTTTCCCAGGGCATAGCAGAGAGCTGGATCAGAAGTGGAGCAGCTGGGACTCGAACTGGAGCCCATATGGAATGCTGGTACTGCAGGTAGCAGCTTTACCCACTACGCCACAGCGCTGGCTCTCCCATGTGGGAGGAGAGGCCCAAGCACTTGGGCCATCTTCTACTGCTTTCCCAGGCCATAGCAGAGAGATGGATCGGAAGTGGAGCAGGCAGGACTCGAACTGGAGCCCATTTGGGATGCCGGTACTGCAGGCGGCAGCTTTACCCACTACGCCACAGAGCCAGCCCTTGGAGGACACGTGATGGATGTGCACTCTGGGTGGGCAACTGTGATGCTGCCTTTGCCTTGAGAGGCCTGTGTCCTGACGATCTGCCTGCTCTGCAAAATGGGAACTTCAGGGTGGTCACTCTGCCTACTCCAAAGGTCTTCTCTGGCCTCCGATCACCTTCCTCAGTCTCCAGAGGTTGCCTTTGAGGACAGAATGCTGATTTCAGGGTTCATTTGGAGTTCGATGCTTAGGGAAAAGTGCCCTCTCCTAGCAGATGTCTGGGGCAGGACAAACTCCAGCTGATCTAGCAAAACATCCATGAGCGTCTCAGGACATAGATCAGGGTGGAGGGATAGACAACCTGTTGCCCCCTCTCCTAGACAGGCAATGCTGGACAGCTGACTGCAGCTGCCCAGGCCAGGGTCCACGGCATCGAGCCCATTACGCTACTGAGTCTGTCATCACCAGTACCCCGCCCACTGTCCCCAGCTGTGGGAGACCATACCTGTGTCCTGCTCTCTAATCACGGCAAGGGCATTGCTCCCAGCTGACCACAGCCACGACAATGTCTTCATCACGGGCCTGCACACCCATGGTTTCTTCCTCTACCTGGGTGATGTCAAAGCCAACGAGAAGAGCACTGGGTAGTGCCCTCGTAAACTCAGGATTTGTTTCATGCCCTGATAAAGGTCCTTCCACACTTGAACAGAATGCCACCTGCCTATGACCCTTCATGATAACCCCAGACCTGAAGGCACGGCAATGTTCCCCGTCCCAGCGACGAGCCATTCCTGAGTGTGCAGTACACAGATTCCATTCTTTTGTGCAGCTTTTCTGCCGCTGGATGGAGAGAATTCATGATGTGCAGCCACCCAGCTCTCCTTGAGGTTCTCACAGATCCTCAGTCCAGGTTGTGCTGCACAACCACACAGCTTCGGGCTATTTGCTGGGCACCCAGGGGAGTTGTCATATTGGCCGATGTCCCCTGTTGTTTCTGGATTGATGCCTTTGCCCACGTCGAAAGCTCATGTAGGCAAACGGCTGCAGGCTATGCCTCCATCTGAGCCTTGGGCTCTTTCCCAGACTTGGCCTGGCCTCCACCGCCAGATGGCTCCGGCCTCCGTGGTAGACTTCGTCCTCCGGTTGCTGACCCCTCACCGTCTGCAAGGGCTGCTCCAGCCGGAGCCAGCAGCGCAGGAGTCGGTTAATGACAGGGGCGTGGGAGCACAGGCAGAGACTCTCAGCAGTTTGAACTCTCAACTGTTTTTCATTTTTTAGAGGATGTTTCGGGAAACCCTTTTCTTGTAAACTTGTACTCAGAGGAGCCAGACCTCCCCCAAACAAGGGATGGCTGAAGCTGCAAGAACCCAGTCTGAGTCAGGAGTTGGAATGCACAGGGTAAGAAGATGAGCATTGCAAGCAGAAGAGGCCTCCGTCCCCACATCCGGGAAACCTCCGCAGCTCTTGCTTTAAAATCCCTGGCAGGGGCCGTAATTGTGAGCCGCAGTTATGGGCCCAGCTGACTTCTACTCCTGCTGTGGCCTTTGTGGGATGAGTCCCTCCGTCAGGGGATGGACCCAGGAAAAACGACACGTGTGAGATGGCAGGAGGGCTCTGGAGAGGCCTCTGCCCGCACGGCAGAAACGGGCCCAGCTGGTCTCTGCTCCGACAGGGTCTCCAGGGTCCTCGGCGCCGCGAGCTGTTGCCCAGGTGCCTGAGCCAGGCTCTCAAGACTCGCTCATCTTTCATCTGTGAGGGTGGGGGTCTCTGTTCCGGGGCATACCCCATGGCGTTTCCTCTGTGCCCCGGTTCCTGGTACCTCTCACCATGCGGTGTTGAGAGATCAGACATCCCTGTACTCAGCCTCACTCAGCTCGGCCCCTCTGGGGGGAGTCTCCCCGGGAAAGGCCCGTCTGCGCCCACGCTGCGCGTCTTTGCTGTATTTACCTTCACCCAGGACTCCGATGTCCCGGATCCCAGCCTCAGTGCTCGGGTCCCTTCCCTTGGTGCCGGCCTTCAACATCAACCCCGCTGCCTGCCGATGATCTCCTAAATTCCATCTCTGGAACAGAGCTCTTGGCTCTCCCAGCCCCTCCCCCATTCAAGGCCCTTTACTCCCAGTAGAAGTCAGCGGCCCCTCCCGCTGCCCAGGTGCACAGCGCTGGATCTGTTCCCACACGTACCCAGTCCCAGTCCACCAGCAGATCCTATCAGCTGCGCCTTCAAAGTAGCATCCCCGGAAGCAGACACTTTCCTGGCCCTGTGCTGCTGGCCCTCACCCCTCGCCCCTTGCCCCTCGCCCTCCACCCCTCACCACTCACCCCTCATCTCCTACCCCTCACCCCTACCCGTCACCCTTACCCCTCACCCTTCACCCCTACCCCCCACCCTTCACCCCTCACCCCTCACCCCCACCCCTCACTCTCACCCCAGCCCCCCGCCCCTCACCCCTCACCCCTAGCCCCAACCCTTCACCCTTCACCCCCCACCCCTCACCCCTCACAACCCACCCCCCACCCTTGCCTGCATGGGAGCAGTCTGCTGGCCGGCCTGCCTGCCCCCATCGTAGGTTCTCCACACAGAGCCGAGGTGTTTCTGGGAAGGTGTGAAGCCCATCATGCTACTTCTCAGTTTCACACTCTGGGAAGGTCCCCGTCTCACTCAGAGGTGGAGCCAAAGTCCTCCCTGTGATCCGGAATGTTCTAGATGGCCTTCCTGGCCCATTCCCGACTTTACTCGCCACTCCGCTCTGCACTGGGTGAGCTCCAGCCGCGGCCTTTTGCTCGTCCTCCCCTAACACCAGACGATCCCACCCGAAGGTCGGGCCGCCAGCTGCTCCCTGCCCTGAACACTCTTCCTTCGCTGCCCACAAATGCTAGACATTTCACCCGGGTGAATACACCCCTCTCACCTGGCTCCACTTACTCATTTATTTCACAGGCACAGAGACAGAGAGAGCGCCCATCTGACGGTCACTCCCCAAATGCCCACAGCAGCCTCGTGCCTGAGGCTGCAGCTGGGAGCCAGGGACTCAGTTCAGCCCACCTGTGGCTCCATGAGCCTCACTGCTGCCCCCCAGGACCTGCACCAGCAGGAAGCTGGAATCAGGAGACGGAGGTGGGCAGACGTGGGACACAGTCCGCCGTGGGACACCGGTGTCTTGATCGACACCTTCACCAGCAGGTTAACCAGGCACCTGCCCCGCCTTCTCTGGTGATATTGACCGTATTTATTGTGCTGCCCGCAATGTGGGATAAGCTCTCTGAGGTCAGGGGCCTTTGTGTTGCTTGTTCACTGATACGCTGGAAGCATCTAGAACAGAGCCTGGTGCTGATGAGGTGCTCAATACATGGGTGTTGGCAAGGAAAGTCCTGTGTTCTCCCTAGGCCCGCGTGTAGAACATGATCAGCGACAGGTCAGTGTCTGTCCAATGGCTATGTGGATGGACGCATCACTGAATCCATGAAAGCCTGGCTGGGGAAAGTGCTCAGTGGCTCCTGCTGTCCTTTGAAGATTTATTTTATTTATTGGAAAGAGAACAGATTGGGGGGGGGGGGATGGGGAGAAGGAGAGGGAGGGAGAGAGGGAGAGATTCATCTTCCACCTGCTGATTCACTCCGTAAATGCTGGCAATAGCCAAGGTTGGGCCAGGCTGAAACCAGCGACCTGGAGCTCCATCCAGGCCTCCTGTGTGGGAAGCAGGGCCCCAAGCACCTGGGCCATCTTCTGCTGCTTTCCCAGGTGCGTGAGCAGGGAGCTGGATCAGAAGCAGAGCAGCCGGGACCGGAACTGGCGCTCTGAGATGGGATGCCGATGTCAAAGTGACAGCCTAACCCACTGCATCACAATGCTGGTCCCTCTTCCTCTATCCTTTAGGAGGGAGGTTTTCCCTTTTAAAGTCTAATTTGTCCTTGACTTTGTCTCAGCCACTCTTCTCAAGAGTCCTGCTGCTGGGAGTGAGGATGGTCACGTTCTCCCTGGGAGGTCTGGGGGACTGGTGGTGACAGCAGTGACAAACGTCTGTTGAGCACTTGCTATGTGCCAGCCACCAGCCTGTGTGCTTCCCCACGATTAGCTCGTGCAATCCGCACTCCCTCCCCAAGGGGCTAGGTTCTGCTTCCTTACCCATTTTACAGATAAGCACATTGAGGCTTAAGAGAGGCCAAGAGGGGCAGGTGCTTGGCGCAGCAGTTAAGTTGCACAAGTTGGGACCGGCACTGTGGTGCAGCAGGTTAAGCCTCCATCTGTGCTGCCAACACCCCATATGGGTGCCAGTTCAAATCCCGGCTGCTCTATTTCCAATCCAGCTTCCTGCTAATGTGCTTGGGAAAGCAGCAGATGTCCAAAGTGCTTGGGCCCCTGCACCTACGTGGGAGACCTGAAAGAAGCTCCTGGATCCTGGCTTCAGCCCTGGCCATTGCGGCCATTTGGAGAATGAACCAAGACCTCCCTCTATCTGTAACTCTGCCTCTCAAATAAGTAAATCTTAAAAAAAAAGTTGCTGCAAAGCTCTATAGTTCTGCATACATACCTATGGACTTATTTCTAAGTGTACAGTTTAAAAACTTCCCAAGGGACCCCAAATCCCATTAAGCTGAGTAGTAAAAATGCCACTTCAAGTGTTAAAGTGACAAAATTAAGCATTAAAGTGATCATAATGATAAAATTAAGTATTAAAGGGATCATATAAATATGATCAAGTGTCTAGTAATAAGAAGAGATAGAAATAAAAAGGAGAGAATGTTCCAACAAAGGAAGCAGGCCACACAGCAGACTCATAGAATGACAATTGCTTTAAATAGCACTCTGACCTCAGAATCAGCCCTTAAGGCATTCCGTTCTGGCTGAAAAGCCCAAGAGAGAATTTCAGGCATGGAAAGCCAAGACACTGTGGCCAGAAAAAAAAAAAAAAAAGTCCTACATGTGAGACCTTAGCGAAAAGATGTGACCATCAAAGAAGGACATACTTTTCTCTGAAGGGAGGAGAGAACTTCCACTTTGCCTTTGGCCCTGCCTAAATACTGATGGAGACTGTGACTCAAAAGGCTTCCATAGCCCGGTCAACTCATGGGAGAGCCTTGGGTGGTCACTGACATCATACATAAGAGTATTGTTAAATTAACAATAGGAAGTCACTGTGCACTAACTCCCCATGCAGGACCTCTGTCCTAAATGAGTGGTACTATGAGATTTAACTGTAAAACTTGTTCTCAGTTTTTTATATTTAGTGTGTGTATGTGTGCATGTGTGTGTGCACAAATAGTTGAAATCTTTACTTTGTATAGAGTTGGTCTTCTGTGTGTAAAGTTAATTGAAAATGAATCTTAATGGAGAATGGGACTGGGAATGAAAGAGGGAGGAGGAAGTGGGGAGGGAATGGGCGTGGGAGGATGGATATGGTGGGAAGAATCACTGTATTACTAAAGATGTACTCATGAAATTTATACTCATTAAATAAATGGCTTCTAAAGAAATTGCCCAAATCTCCTATCAGAATGCTTGGTTGGAGTCCTGGCTGCTGCACATGTCATCCAGCTGTTTGCTAATGAGTTCTTTGGGAGGCAGCAGATGATTGCCCAAGTACTTGGGTCCCTGCCACCTATGTGGGTGACCTAGTTGCTGGCTGTTGCAGGCATCTGGGGAGTAAACCAGCAGATGAAAGCTCTCTCTGTCTCTGTCTTTCAAATAAAATGAATGTCTACGTGACCAAAGTCACATAAGTAACAAGTGGCAGAGCTGGGATTTGAACTCCGGCCATCAGGCTCAAGCCATCTGTCCACCGGGTGGGGTTTAGTTCACCAAAGTAAGGATTTTGCATTTTTCCCCTGAAGAGCAGGAGGCAGCCATGGAAGGTTATGTAAGCAAAGGATGGGCATGATCTCTCATCTACGAAGAGGGAGGATAATTCCTCCCTCATGGGGCTGTTCTGGGTTGTTTCCTCGGTTCACAGACTGGATCAGGGTCTAGGGGAAGAGAGGTTCAAATTATCCAGTTTAAAAGAGGCAGCCGCAGAAGTTTTACACACGGGCATCTACTGCCATCATGTGGCTACTCTCTGTATGGCATGCTGCCGGCTCTGGCTGGTTACGTCTGGGAGGTCCAGGGCTGTCTCTGTGCTGGGAACTGGGTGAGTGACCAGGGGAGCTCCCAGAGCGGGGCTGGTGCCCCAGGCTGAAGACTGTGAAACCCTGGAGTGGATTCAGCGATAGATTTGGCGACACACACACCTGAGCCCGGTCCTCTCACTGAAGCAGCCAGCAGCCTGCTGGAAGGAGCAGGAGGTCTGGGGAGCAGGATTCTGGGTTTGAATCCCAGGCCTGTCACTTCCTGAAGTTTCACTTTTACAAGCCTCAGTTTCTTCAGCTGTACAATGGGGGCAAAGCAGAGCCAGCCTCACAGGGCTGCTGGCAGATGGATGCACACACCACAGAGAGTCTGAGCACGCCTGGCACTCAGCCTGGGTCCCGGAGGCAGGCCCGGCCCGCTCTGAGCTGCAATGAAGATTCCCCGAGGGGCCAGGTTTGATGGCAAAGAGCCGGCTCCCAGCTCTACTGAACTTGACCTTGGCAAATCATTTCCTCTTGGAGCTACATGATGTGGGGTTCCAACAAAATCACTCAGATTCTGCCCACGGGGACTATAGAAGAGGACCTGCAAGTTTCCAGCACAAGACCCTGAGTGTGAGCAAAGGGAGATAATAACTCAGACCTCATCCTGCACTGCAGAGGAGCTGGCGCCTGGGGGCGTGGGCCTCAGCCAGCATCCGCATCCCCTGGGAGCCAGCAAGAAACCGAGTCCCTGGGTCTGCCCCCAGTCCACTGGCCTGGACCTGCAGTTAACATGAACCCGAGCTGAGTTGGAGACGCTGGGCCGGGCTGCTGGTTCTCAATCTTGACCATGCAGAATTGCCCAGGGCTTCAAAAATCATGGCGTCCAGGGTCCCTCTCACTCTGGGGATCTCGGGTGGGAGTCAGACACAGGTGGATTTTTGTTGTTTTGAGAGACAGGCACAAAGGCACACACACAGAGCACACCCATCTGCTGATGGTTCGCTCGCCAAAAGTCTACAATGGGCCAGGGAGTTTGAAGCTGGGAGTCAGGAACTCAATCCAGGTCCCCTATGCAGGTGGCAGGAACCTGATTACTCCAGCTCTCACTGCTGCCTCCCAGGGTCTGCATTAGCAGGAAGCTGGAGGCAGGAGCCAGAGCCGGGTCTGGAATGTGGAATGCAGGTATCTTAACCACTACGTTAAATGCCTGTCCCGACGTCTCTGGTTTTAAGAAACTCCCTACGTTACCCCAATGTGCAGCCTTATCTCGTGCCGGAAGGTAAAAGCATGTTATTGTTTATGTAAAAGCAATAGAGGAGATATTCCAGATGTCCCCTGGTCTGATACCCACCACAGGGGCTGGGAAGTTTGGTGTCAAACCCAAGTCATAGCAAGAAGTTGGCTTTTGTGAGGCCCTTGCTAGGTGCTGGGCCCTGGGCTGCCTGCTTGCTATCTTTTTTTTTTTTTTAATATTTATTTTATGTCTTTAAAAGGCAGAGTGACAAAGAGAGAGGAAGAGACAGTGAGAAAGAGATCTTATGTCTGCTTCACTCCCCAAATGGCTGCAGTGGCCGGGGCTGGGCCAAGCCAAAGCTGGGAGACAGGAGCCAGGAGCCAAGAGCTCCATCAGGGTCTCCCACGTAGGCGGCAGGGGCTGAAGCATTTGGGCCATTATCTGCTGCTTTCCCAGGCAATTAGCAGGATGGGAAACAGAGCAGCTGGGACTCGCACCAGTGTTCAGATATGGGATGTCTAGGTTGCAAGCAGTAGCTTAACTGAGGCACAATGCCAGCCTTTATTTTTTTAAATTCATTTGAAAGGCAGAGTGACAGAGAGAGGGAGAGACAGAGATGGGCTATCTGCTTTCTAAGCACACTGCAATTTAATCCTCACACTAACCAAGTATTATTATTATTTTTAAAAATGTATTTCTTTGAAAGAGAAAGAGAGAGAGAGAGAGAAGAGAGAGGCAGAAAGAGAGACAGAGACACACAGAGAGATATTCTATCTGCTGGTTCACTCCCCAGATGGCTGCAAGGGCCAGGGCTGGGCCAGGCTGAAGCCAGGAGCCTGGAGCTTCATCATCCACACGTAGGTGCAGGGGCCCAAGCACCCAGGCCATCCTCCGTTGCTTTCCCAGGTGCATTAGCAGGGAGCTGGATTGGAAGTGGAGCAGCTGGGACTCACTCACATGGGATACGGGCAATGCAAGTGGCCATGACACCAGCCCCAAGAACAGGGTGTTATTAGTCTCCCCATTTTATAGACAAAGAAATAAGGAGGTGTCACGCAGGCATGGAGAGAAGTGGAACTTGAACCCAGCTGATCTGAATATTTAAGAACAGGGCTTCACATTGCACTCCTTGGATCCCCAGGGTCCTCAGGGGTGTGAGGAGGTGGTGTGGGGATGGGCGGAGTGAGGCAGGGCCTGTGGTCAGCAGAGGCCAGATCCCGGTGTCCACCTTCGCCTGTCTCCCACACTGGGCAGGCAGAGCCTCCACTCTCGTGCCCGGCTGCCAACGGCACTTGGGGTCACGTGGTACTGCCGGGTGCTCTCCGGCAGATCTGCCCCATTCCCCTGCTGCCGGGGACCCCAGGAGATAATCCCCACGGCAGAGGGCACTGGGAGGGATTAGCGCTGGGCAATCACATGCCACAGCTGGCGGCCCCTGGAGAGCTTGGGCAGAGCCTCAGCCCCAGAGGCCATTCCCGTGCCCTGGAGCACAGCGGGCCCCCCAGAGATGCTGGCTGGCTGAGCCTTCTGGGAGAAGGTAAGTGCCTGCCACGATCCTGGGGGCCTGCAGGGGTCCTCTCTGGGCAGGCTGGCGGGGGAGGAGGAGTTAGATGTGGGGGCCAGTAGGGTGACCAGCTGTCCCTGCGATCAGGCGGGTCCTGGGCAGACTGGGGCAGTGCAGAAGAGGGGCTGCCTGGCCGCCTCTTCCCCTGTCTGCCCCCTCCTCCGTTTGCGCGCCTGTCTCTGTCCCCTCTCTTTTCCAGCCGTGCAGAACCTCTTTTGGTGTTCATTTCTCCTGCTCGCAGGGGGTCCCGTGGCCCTGAGTCTTCAAGGAGCTGGGGTCTTCAAGGAACCTTGGGAGAATGAAAACCCAGGTGAGAGGCCCAGCCCCCAGAAGCCTGCAGACACTGCCCTAAATCCCCCGCAACATCACCCTCACGGCCGTGGGTCACACTTCTGAGCCCACGGTGCCAACCGGGGCCGTGCTGGGGCACTGGCTGCTGACTGCACGACAGACCGGAGCGGCGCTGCTCTGCTTCCCAGCTCCGGCCTCTGCACCGAGGGTCCCCAACCCCCCCCCCACCTGCTCAAGGACACGCTCCTGTTCCTCCCCCAGGCACGCCCGTGCGGAGCGCTCTGCACCTGGCCTGTGGCTCAGGGGAGGGAGTGCAGCTCTGGCCCCCAGGGGAGCAGCTTTCTGGGCGCTGTGCCCGATCTCACTCAGCCCCGCCTAAGCTCCGTGTGGTGCGGGCACCGCTGGGACCCCCACCGTGCAAAGAAACTGGGACTCCCAGAGGTGACGGCACGTGTTCAGAGCTAGCGGCCCCAGGCCCTCGTCTCTGGCCACCCCCACCCCGGCCAGCGGGCTCCGTGGGGCAGAGGCTGCCCGGTGCACATCAGGCTTCCCCAAATGCCCGCAGTGACTGGGGCTGGGCCAGGCTGAAGCCAGGAGCCTGGAACACAATCCAGGAACCCAAGTCCGTGGGCCATTCCTGCTGCCTCCCAGGCTGTGCATTAGCAGGAAGCTGGGAGCTGAGCCCAGGCATAAGGTATGGGATACCGGGATACCTGTGTCTTTCCTGCTAGGCCAAAACCTGTCCCGAGAATCTTCCCTGCCTGCTTGGACAATGAATGGGGCTGGCTCAGAGCGGGTGGGGGAGGGGGCTGAAGGTGAGTGACTGGGATGCAGTTGGAGGAGGGCAGGAGGGGAGGGGGAGGCGCTGGGGGAGCCATGTTGGGGGGCAGGCTCATCCTGAACCCCATCCCTACACTTTCCAGCTGGGCAGGCCGAGGGGAGAGCCCACTCGTGGCTTCTGCCGTGTCATTGTGAGCCGCTCGGATCCGACCTCCGGGACTGCAGGGATAAATCCACGGAACTGGCCACAGAGGCAGGATGAGGCTGGACCCCAGAGGAGGGCCATGAGTTTCCAGGGGCGCAGAGGCCCTGGGCCCGCGTTGAGGTGGGGGTGGGGCTACTGCACCGCTGGAATCACAGCTCTGCCGTTCTCTGCCCCGACCTCAGCACCAGCGAGGCGGCTCCTGTCTCTGAATTTCCTCCCTTAGCTGAAGATGAGATGCGCACGGCCCTAGTGTGCCGCAGGTGCCACAGGTGCTGCAAGCCCTTCCGGGGGCGCCCTCCCCGCCCCACCCCCCCAGCTCTTGGCTCACAGCTGCCAATTCCAGGCCAAGCGGGCAGGCAAGCCGGGCAGCTCTCTGCTCGTTGCTCCTTGGCTCCGCCTGGCTCAGGCTCAGTCCCAGCCCTGCTGTCTGCTCCAGCACCCCCGGGTGGAGACGTCCTAGTGCCCTGGGGTCTTCCGTGGTCTCATTTTGTGCAGTAGAGGTGCCACTGACATACAGTTCTGAGATTTTTTGACAAAGGCACATGATCTTGTAGGCACCACCACACTCAAGATAGAGAGCAGCTCCATCACTCCCCAAATTCCCTCTGCTCTTTTGCAGCCTGCGCCATTGTTGTCCGATGGTAGTTTCCAGAATGTTAGCTAAGGGGTATTACACAGCCTGCAGCCTCTCGTGTCTAACTTATCTCATTTGCCAAAATGCATTGGAACTTCACTCATCTTATTGCATCCACTTTTTCTTCCTTTATATTACTGAGTAATATTCCAGTGTGTGGGTGTGCCACAGCTGGTCTGTTCCAGGGGCTGAAGCGGCTGCCTGTGGGCTGTATAAGGCCCATGAAGTCCTTTGTCTGGCTTTGCCAAGGCAATCACGGGCAGGACTTGAAATTCAATAAATCTGTAGGTTTTTTTTTTTTTAAGATTGATTTATTTATTTGAAAGGCAGAGTTACAGAGAGGCAGAGACAGAGGCAGAGAGAGAGAAAGAGAGAGAGAGAGGTCTTCCATCTGCTGGTTTACTTCCCAGATGACCACAGTGGCTGGAGCCATGCTGATCCGAAGCCAGGAGCCAAGAGCTTCTTCCAGGTCTCCCATGCGGGTGCGGGGGCCCAAGGACTTGAACCATCCTCTACTGCTTTCCCAGGCCGTAGCAGAGAACTGGATTGGAAGTGGAGCAGCCAGACTCAAACTGGTGCCCATATGGGATGCTGGCACTGCAGGTGGCGGCTTTACCCGCTATGCCACAGCGCTGGCCACCACTTTTTTAAAAAATTTACTTGAAAGACAGAGTTACAGAGAGAAGGAGAGACAGAGATCTTCCATCTGTTGGTTCACTTCCCAAATGGTTATAATGGCTGGGGTTGGGCCAGGTGGAAAAGCCAGGAGCCTAGAACTCCATCCAGTTCTCCCACATGGGTGTCAGGGCTCCAAGCACTTGGGCCATCTTCCATTGCTTTTCCAGGCCATTAACAGGGAGCTGAAATGGAAGTGGAGCAGCCGGGACTCAAACTGGGTCTCATATGCATTGTCTATGTTGTGGGCGGCGGCTTAACCCATTGTGCCACAACTCTGGCCCCGGCCGGCTAAGTGTTAAGTTGATAATTTAGTATGGCCCACGAATGATGTTATAAATATCCAAGTAGACCTTGGCAGAAAGAAGGTTCCTACCCCTGCCAGCAACTGAGCGGCATTCCAGTTGTTTCTGGCCTTTTGAAATAAAAGAGTGAAAATGTGGTATCAACGTGAGCCCCAGATTCGAGAGCTGGAATTGACTTTGGAACTCAAGTGCGATTTCCTGGTGTAAGAGTGAATGCTTGAACAATGGGCCAGCCCTCTGCTTCAACCATCGAGGCAATGAAGGGAGGGGGAAGGACTTGTGGACTCGGGCGGTGGACTCGGGTGCTACAGCTGAGACAGGACCCAGGGCTTCTGAGCTGCGGACAACGTGAGGCTCGAACGCACGCTCTGCCGGTGCTGGGCTGGGGGCCAGGTCAGAGGCGCAACAGCCCAGGGGGCCGACGCTGGGGGTCAGGCAGCGAAGCCAGCAGTGAGTGGCATGGTCCCGGCTCCTCTGCGGGGTGCAGTCGGCATAGAGAGGAGGGGGGAGGCTCCCAGGGGCCTGTGAGCACAGTGCTCCCAGCTCAGATGTGAGCCACCATGTGTTTTTGGCAGCGTGGCCCCAGATGCTGCGCTCACCACTCCACGACTGGCCATGCAGTCCCACGGTGGTGCACCCCACAGAAGCTAAAATGAATAACCCAGAGCCACAGGCACCTCCCGGGGTGACACAGCTGGAGGAGGATCACATGGTAGGACCCCACCGGGAGAAGCTCAAGACCGCGCAGACCGGTACTCCAGGCCGGGAAAGCATCAACACGTGTGTCACAAAGACGAATGCCAAGATCAGGCTGGGTGTGAGCAGAGGGACTGGGGTCTGCAGAGGGCCCGGGGGCTTCCCTCTGCCTGGGGTGAGCTGTTCTCATCTATTCACGCGGGTCACAAGTATTTATTAGGGCTGTTCCTGGGACCGTTTTCCCTCCCAAAATATTTATTTATTTGAAAGGCAGAGAGAGAAAGAGAGCGAGCGAGTGAGCGAGCAGGATCTTCCATCTGCTGGTTCACTCCCCAAGGGGCCACAACGGCCGGGCTGACCCAGTCTGCTGCTTTCCCGGCTGTATTAGCAGGAGCTGGTTCAGAAGTGGCGCAGCCGGGACTTGAACTAGTGCCACATGCCAATCTCCAGGGACTGTTTTAAGCACAGGGTTACCATAGTAAACGAAGCAAACCCAAATCCCTGTTTTCTAATGGACTGGGGGTGCCGGGCAGACAAAGTGAGTAAGTCACCCGGTGTAGCATAGTTTAAAATGTAAAGATTAGAGGCAAATATGGTAAAGTGTTAGGATTTAACAAAGCAAGGTGATGGATGCCTAGGGTTCACTGGTAAGCCCCCCCCCCCCCCCCCCCCGGCTCTTTCTCTCTCTCCATTTTTCAAGATGCTTAACCTCTTTGGTAACTCTACCAGGCCAGCAGGCTGGGGGGATGGGGGAAGCTGGTGGTGGGGGTTAAAGGCCAGGGAGGGCCAGGGCAGGCCGTCAAACTTGCAGCTTGGGTGGCTGAGAGGAGGCAGGTGCCAGGAGCCGAGAGTGAAGGCGGGATGCCCGCACCCCGTGTCCGAGGCCCAGCTCTGCCCTGGAGGCCGGCCTCCCTGCCAGTGTGCGCCCTGGGAGGCAGCAGTGATCACCCAAGTACCTGGACCCCAGCTGCCCATGCTGAAGACCTGGGTGAGGGGCCTGGCTCGCAGGTTTAGCCTTGGCTGTTGCAGGCATTCAGAGAGGGAACCAGCAGATGGAAGATCTTTGTCTCTCTGCCTTTCAAATAAAATGAAAAATGAAAATAAAAGAGTTATTGAAAAGATGAATAACAGAACAGTTCACCAAGGCCCTGGGGCGCGGGTCCTGGGGGAGAATCTTGAATCTCCTTGCAGCCATCTCATTCCAGGGGGGACAGACAAGGACGGGGGAGGCCAGGAGCGACACCTGTTCCCCGCACAGCTGAGGCTACAGGCACAAGGAAGACGGCTCAGCAGGGGCCATGCTCTCAGACGCCAGGGTTGAGGGTCAGGCAGAAGGGATTCACTTCCACCTTGCTCTGTGACCTTGAGCAGGTCACTTACCCTCTCTGAGCCCCATTTTATCGCCTTTGAAATGGGCTCCACAAGCCAAGGTCAGAGCAGGCCGTGAGAGGTCAGAGTTCATGTTAGTGGTCGGTGCAGGGGCAGGATGTTAGACAAGTTCTTTGCTTCGTGTGGCCCTGGTCTGCCTGCCTGGAAATGAGACGGCCCAAGAAGTGATATTCAAGGCTTTGCAGAACGTTGAGCAGATCAGAGCCTGGGCATTTGATTCAATTCCCAGCTCTGCAATGAGCTGTGTGGCCTTGGGACAGTCACTGAACTTCCCTGAGACTCAGCCATGACATGAGAGTGTTAATAGGGCCTCCCTCACCTCTCTCTCTCTATATATATATTTATTTGAAAGGCAGAGCAACACAGAGAGAGGGAGAGTCAGAGAAAGAGAGAGAGAGAGAGAGAGAGAGAGAAGAGAAGAGAAGAGAAGAGAAGAGAAGAGAAGAGAGGAGAGAGAGAGAGAGAGAGAGTTTCTTCCATATGCTGGTTAACTCCCCAAATGGCTGCAATGGCCGTGGCTGGGCCAGGCTGAAGCCAGGAGCCTGGAGCTTCATCAGGGTCTCCCACACGGGTGTCAGGGCCCTGAGCACTTGGGCCAGCTTCCGCTGCCTTCCCAGGCGCATTGGCAGGGCGCTGGATGGAAAGTGCTCAAACCAGTCAGGCTCAAACCAGTGCTCTGCTACAGCATGCCGGCCTCACAGGCAGCGGCTTTACCTGCTGTGCCGGCCCGTGACGTCTGTCTTAAAAGGCTTGGCACAGCCTCTGGGACACTGGCTACGGCATCCAGGACTGGGCTACGAGAGCTGGGTTGCTGTCCCCCTCCCTCTCCAATTCCTCTGCTTCCTCCCCCTGTGAGGCTTCTGCACCTGCTGTCATCACCTCTGCCCTCCCTGCTGCCCCCCCTCACCTCCCGGGCTGCACTTCCTCGGCCCCCACCCCTGACGATGGGACAGGGCCCCCAGCTCCGTGCAGCGCCATCCTCCTGAGATCTCCCAGCAGGTCCCCTTTTTTACGGTAAAGGTTTCTCAGTGCTGGCAGAGCAATGTGGAGGATGGGGTGCTGCGACCAGGCTTCCAGAGCCGGCCCCCGCCGTGGAGGTCCAGCCACGTGCCGGGAGCTTTACACACGCCTGCTCTGGATGCTCCTTCCCAGGTTCAAGAGCACAAAATAGAGGAAGCGAAAGTGGAGGGGTGGAGCTGGATGCAGGGGCGTTTTGCACGCCTGGGACGCTCACATTCACTCCACAAAGGTGCATGGAGTGAGCGGCATGGACAGACGCCATGGAGGACAGAAAGCCAGGCAATGGCCGTGGCCTTGCAGAGCTGGCCCTCGCAGGTGCACGAGCTGACAGTGACAGAGCAGCTGGTGTCCGACAGAGGGCTGCATTTGTACCATCCTGGAGGGCTGTGCCAAGTGCTTTAGGAGGAGACCTGGGAGGGGGAGAGTTGGGGAAGGTGTCACGGCGGAGGTGGCATTCATCAAAGGTCTAAGAAACTTCACTCTGCCTGCAGGCGAAGCGGGCGCATGGCAGGCAGAGGCACACAAGTGCGGGCGCACGTGTCAGGCGGGATTGTTGAAGGTCTCGTGGGGAAGGGTCTTCTTTTCACAGCCGTGAAATGCTTCGGACCCCCACATCCCCTTATCAGAGTGCAGGGTTCGAGTCCCATCTCTGCTCCTGACACCCTGGGAGGCAGCAGGTGGTGGCTCAAGTAACTGGGTCCCTGCCACCCCTGTGGGAGACCTGGATGGAGTTCCAGGCTTCTGGCTATGGCTTTAGCCCAACTCTGGCTGTTGCAGGCACTGGGGAGTGAACCAGTGTATGGGAACGCTCTCTCTATCTCCCCCCGCCCAAAAAAAGAAACTTACCCAAAGCTATGGTTCTCGTGACGCCTGGGCAACCCGAGGCGCAGAAGGGACCTCCTCTCTTCCCCCTGGCTGACCCCAAGCCCGCACCGTTGTCTCCCAGGCTGCCCGGCAGCTCCGCCTGCTCCAAGTGAGAAAGAAGTGGCTCCTCCCGGCCTTCAGCGCCGTCCTCTTCCTGCTGGCTGTGGTCATGACCGGCTGCTTCTTGTGGCAGTATCACCTCCCCAAGCTGCTGGCCGGTGAGTGACGAATGATCAGGGTCCGCCCCACCCCCAGGACAGGACCCTCACGTTAGGCTCAGAAGCGCTGGCCACCCGCTGTGACCCCAACTCTCATTGAGCATTTTGGACCAGGCTGGTGGCCTCTCTGTGCCTCGACGCCCTCAGGGATAAACGAGGATCCCAGTGCCACCAAGGTTTCCTTGTCACCCAGCCTGGTGGTAAAACTCAGGGTTCACCCAAAGGTGCAGACACTGCTTTCCTCACCTGCCTTCAGTGTTCCTCGAAGGCCCCTCGAGGCACAAAGACCTGCTGGGCATCCACGGGCATCGGCTGCCACTCCTCAGAGCCCCCCCGGGGCTGGCCAAGGCCCTGCAAAGCAGCCCCCTGCTGTTGGTGCTGTCTACAGGCCTCTTGTGGCTGGGGCAGCCCCTGGCACCACCAGCCTGCTGGGATGCTGCAGGCTTGAGCCCCAGATCTCTGCTGGGGCGGGGCTGCAGCTTCCCACCCCCCTGTGTCATCCTGCAGAGGCCCTGGGAGCCACGCCCCAGAGTTCTGCAGGAGTGGCTCCTTCTCCTCCCCCACCCACTGGTTCCTTTTCCGGTAAATTCTCCCATGAGCGGCTTCTTAGTCCTTTGAGCAAGTAGACCCCGGGTGGGCAGAGCTGGCCAGAGCCTTGTAACTGGCTTTGCTAGAAACACAGAATAGAAAAGTAAACCAGTAAGGAAATCTTAAAACACACACACACACACACACACGCACACACATGCACACGCATACACACACATGCACACGCACACGCACACACGTTTTGGATTTTTAGATCCAATAGGCACAGAATGCAGAATGACACAACCCAGCTGCCATAAACACTTCCTCCCAGATTCTGTACTTCAGCTGTTACTACTGGGGAGCAAACAGCTCACAGCCCCGCCCCCGGGGCTCCCCCCTCACCCGAGGCTGTCAGAGGTGAGGACTCCCCGGCCCCAGCCATCGCCACCACAGCAGAACTGCACGCTGAGAGGTTCCCTGTGTGCACACCACAGCCAGGGAATCACGGCCATCCCGCCAGCCCGCCTGGGCCCCCAGCTGAGCAAAGCCCAGGCTTTAGCTGAGACCCCCTCCTCTAGTTACTAAACCTACACCTCCCCTCCCCGAGCCTTGTCAATTTCCTGAAGCGGATCCCCTGGGCCGCTCTGCACCTGGTGGAATGGGGGCTCCCTGGAGTGCTGGGTGAGCCACCTGGGGGAGGGGCGGAGGGCCCCGCCCCTGCCCCCAAGCCCCGCCCTCAGGCAGCCTCTCTTGGTCTCCCGGCCACCCTCCCAGGCCTGTCCGCCAGGTGGGCAGAGTTCAGGGGAGCAGGTCCCTTAAGGCCTGGCCTGGGATGTTGCCCAAAGCAAGTCCCACAGCCAGACTCGAGGGGGCGGGGTAGAAACCGGCAGGATTCAGGGCTGCACGACCCTAGGACAGGGACCATGTCTCCTGGGCACTCTCAGAAGGCAGTGGAAGGCGGGAGGAGGTAGCTCGCACCCCTGGACTCCCCACTGCAGCCTTACAGGTTTGGGGGCCGTTGGGATGATGTCACAGAGCGAAGCCTGCCTGCCCTGCCAATGCCTTCCCCATCTCCCCTAAGCCGTACCCCTGGGGCGCCATGCCTGAGTCTCACCTCTGTGTAGACCGAGTTGTCCCTTGTGGCTTAGGTCAGATGCCTAACTGGGCTCCGAGTTGCATAAACACACAGAGCCAGGATGCAGGGGGTGGGAGTGGGGGGTGCATGCGCAAACACACACACACACACACACGGATGTGGCTGAGGCTTCCCCAAGCAGCGGGGGCTGACCAAGTGCACTGGTCACACTGAGGTAGGAAACTGATGGAGCGAGAGGGGGGAGTGCAGTGGCGGCCAACCAGGAACTGCCGCCGATGGAGGTCTTGAAAGCAACACGCAGTGGCTGGCGCGGGTCTGGGTCCTTTTCCCGCTGGGCCCACTCCGATCGCTGCCCCGCAGTGGGTGGTCTCTGGGCCCTGTAGTCGCCCTGGAAGGTGCTGATGACCCGGGAGGGCGGTCCCCGAGGCGTGGCTCTGGCCTGAGCTGCCACCGTCCCCTCCCCCAGGAGGATCCCCTGCTCACCACATGGTACTTCCTTCAGGTTCCCCGGCACCAGAGGCGACAGCTGCCCCCGTGAGCATGTGTCCCCGGCATCCTGACCCCGTGCCCCTGGCCCACCCCCTTCCTGTGCTCAAGGAGGCCCTGGAAAAGGTCAGTGATGACCCAGGAGAGAGCAGGGTGTGGGGCGGGCACCCCCCTGTGCCAGCAGAGGCCTTCATCCAGGCATTCATCCGGCTTGTGTTTCCTAAGTGGCTACTCTGTGCTGAGCGGCAGGGGTGTGGCAGGAAGAAGATCTGGCCTGCCCTTAGCGCCTGCTCTCTGCCCTCAGACAGCCAGCATTTATGACAAAGGGACAAGCGTGGGGGTGGGATGAGTGTAGAGGACCGGCGGTGGGGTCAGGGAGGCGGTGTCTGAGCCGTGGACAAGAAGGAGGTAACCCCCGGGTGACACCTGTGTGTGGGGGGGCGAGGGAGCTTGGGGTGAAGGGCTGTGAAGCAGACAGAAGCACAGCATGTGAAAAGGCCTGGGGGCAGCCTCCAGGGTACCTGGCACACACAGAGTGCTAAGAGGCCATAAGTGGGAGGCGGGGAAAGATTAGTTGGGGCAACATGCAGACACACACACACACACACACACACACTATTGCAGCGTGTGAAAACACCAAGTGTCGGCCAGCTCTAGTTTACGCCAGGCACATCCGTCCACGTGGGGCCCTCACCTTAGGAGACACAGGGACAAATGACACTTGATGAGAAGTGTGTGAGCAGTGGCATGGCGGGGGACTTGAAACTGCTCTCTGGGGAGCAGCAGAAGGGAAGGGGTGGGGAGCCCCCAGGAGAGAAGCCCCCGCCGGGCCGGGGGGGGGGTGATCACTGTCTGCAGACCGGACAGAGGTGCCACGTGGCTCCCTGGGGTTACCGTCACTTTGAAAAGCCACAATGCCCGGGGCTGCCTTCCACGGAGCGCCAGGCACTGTGCTGACCCGCTCACATGCCTTGCTTGGGGAAGGAAGCCAGGACCCCGAGAGGCAAAGTTAGTGCAGCGGTGGAGCTCGACGCCGCCCTAAGGACAGTGGCCGCAGTTGGCACAGGGCTCGGATCGCCAGCGGACCAGCCGTCAGCCACTTCCCAAGGCACTCCCCAGCTCCCGGACTCCCTCGCCTCACCTGCGAAATGTGGGGAGGTGAGCCCTGGCTCACCAGGAATCAGTGCAGAAATGCACGGCAAGCATCTTACACACGTCCGCGCACTCTCACGTCCAGCGTGTACGGGCTCCTCTCCCCTCGTTATACCTCACCATTGCCGGTCATGGCGCCTTTGCAATAAATGATGAGGGTGCCGGGGGCTCACTACAAGTAGTGATGGCCACAACCCGCGGTCAGACTCAGCCCCCTGCGGGGTTTCTACGGCTTTCTCCACGGAGTCAGCTGAGTCCCTTTTAACCCCTTCTCCTTTTTTCAAGAAAAATTTGTGCTGCTTCGAGTCCCAGCTGCTCTGCTTCCGATCCAGCTCCCTGCTGATGTGCCTGGGAAAGCAGCAGAGGATGGACCAAGTACTTGGGCCCCTGCCCCATGCGAGACCCAGATGGAGCACCAGGCTCCTGGCTTTAGCCTGGCCCGGCCCTGGCCGTGGCAGCCGTCCAGGGAGTGAAGCAGCAGATGGAAGATCTCTCTCTCTCTCTCTCTCTCTCTCTCTCTGTCCTTCTAGCCTCCCACCCCCCCCCCAACACTGTTGCTCTGCCTTTCAAATACATAAATATTTTTGAAAATTTATCTTTAAATGAAAAATTTATTTATTTGAGAGACATGGGATGAAAGAGAGAGAGAGAGAGAGAATTTCTCATCTGCTGGCTCACTCTCCAAATGCTCAGAGCAGTCAGGGCTGGGCCGGGCGAAGCACAGAGCTGGAATTCGAGCTAGGTCTCCCAGGTCGGATGTAGGGACCCAACTACTCGAGCCGTTGCTGCCTCGCGGAGTGGACATTAGCAGGAAGCTGGACTTCAGACCGGAGCTGGGACTTGAATCCAGGCACTCTGATGTGACGCGGGTGTCCCAAGGGGCATCTTCATCACTGTGCCAAATGCCCGCCCCTCGTTTATTTGATTTTGCTATGGAAATGTTTCTTTGGGCAGAACTGTTTGTAAGTGAAACAGATTCCGAGGGAGCTGCTCAGACAGAACCACGGACACGGCTTGGGAACCTGGGGGCTGGAGCCTCACGGGGGCTAAGTGAACAGAGGAGCGTGTCCCTTGTCACAGCCCTGCCCTTGGAGCCCTGTTCTTCTCCCCCCAAGGTGGACCGGGTCCTGCGCCAGGCAATGGCGGCCCCAGGCCTGGCGGCCATGTCCGCAGTTGTCGTCCACAACGACACTGTGCTCTGGACTGGGAACTTCGGGAAGAAGAACGGCTCAGACCCCACTTCTGGGACCCCCAACGAGTACACCATGTACCGGTGAGCCGGTGGCAGGGGCCAGGGGTGGGAGGCAAAGGGAGTCCACAGAGCCACAAGACCCAAGAGACTTATGCTTGGGGGAGGGTCCAAGTGGCCAGTACGCATTACTGAGTCCTGTGTTTCACAGGAGACCGAGGTCCAGGCAGGACCGGGGAGTGCCTAATGTCAGAGCACAGGCATCAGTAGGAATCCCTAGCCCTCCCAAACTAGAGAAGGTGCCCCCCTCCCCCTCTCCCTACCCCCTGCCTCTCACGCGCCACCGAGAACCACAGCCAGTTCCCAGCCCTGTCCGTGGGCTGCAGTGGCCCAGGCAGAAGCAGCTGGGAACATTTAGCTGCACATCTGGAGTCTCCCTCCTGGGTGCTGCCTGCGGATCCTCAAAGCTCACATCAGAGTGCGCACAGTTGTTCCCAGGGGTGCTGTGGGGATTCCCGGGGCCCAGGAGGGCTTAGCACTCACCTGCACCTGCTCTGGGCCAGGTCTGGGGCTGAGCGCCCACCACCTGCTCCTTATGTTGACAACGACTTTACACGCACAGTGGTTTTGTTTTTGTTTTTTATGATCTGTGAAACAGGCAATGAAATCAGATCTCAGAAAGCTCTAGTAACTCGCCCAAGACCTCACCGCCAGTGACAGGAGACAGAGGGGCTACCCAAACCCAGCTCTGTCCCAGCACGGGCACAGGGCAGGTGCTCTACCCAACACCACTGCTTCTGGAAAGTTCTCCAGCATCCCAGAGGTAGTTCCAGAAGGCTGGTGACAAGAGGTGGAGTCGGGGCTTTTCTAGAGCACTACCTTCAAGGGCTCAGGGCTCAGGGCTCAGGGCTCAGGGCTCAGGGCTCAGGGCGGGAAGCGGGCTGTGGGGCCAGCAGCCTGCGCCTGGCACCTTGTGTCTCAGGATCGCCAGTGTCTCCAAGATCTTCCCGGTTCTCATGCTGTACCGCCTGTGGGAGCAGGGCACCGTGGCCTCCCTGGACGACCCCCTGGAGCGCTACGCCAGCACCTTCACCATCAACAACCCGCTGGGCGTGGCAGCAGCCCCTGGGCGGCCGGAGGAGGTGGGCCCGGCCCCACGGCCTTCGCAGGTCACCCTCCGAAGGATGGCCAGCCAGCTCTCAGGTGAGTCTCAGAGCTTACCCAGACTGTCCCGGCTGCCCCCCGGCTGCTTCTGGATCCGGCCATACATCCCCCCATTTCGGTTCCCGCCGCCGCAGTGTGAGGGGGCCCATTTCACCACGATCTTACTAACTTAGCACGTCCCCCATTCTTTACGCCATTCCGCACTTGGCCATTGAATCGGGGTGGGGGATGTATCTCGGTGGGGTTTTAGTTGGTGTTTATTTTGTTGTGAGTGAGGCTGAACATCTTTTAGTACTTTTAAATATTCTTGAGTCACTTATTTTTGTTTTTCTGTGAACTTTTTACTCTGTTCCTCTCTGTCCACTTTTCTGTTGAGCTGTTGCTCTTGGAAGTGATGTTTATAGATTAACAGAAATTAGGTCTTCATTGTAGAATTGTCTACAAATATTGACTTGTTGATTTGCTCTCGAACTAAGCAGATCTTAAACCTATAAACCTATCAACATGTTTTTATTTATTTATTTTTTATTTTTATTTTTTGAGAGGCAAAGGGAGTGAGAGAGCGAGAGACGGGGTAGTGGGGAGAAGAGACAGAGAGCTTCCACCTGCTGGTTCACTCCCCAGATGCTCTGCGGCTGGAGTTGGGAGCTCAAGCCAAGTCTTCCCCCGAGGGTGGCCGGGACCCAACTACTTGGCCATCACCACTGCCTCCAGGCTCTGTGTTAGCGGGGAGGATCCTGCAGCCAGGAGCAAAGGCAGACACCCCAGTGTGCGGCACAGGGCAGCCTAACTGCGAGCTAAATGCCCACCCTTGATTTCTACATTTTTTGGAAACACAATAAACATATGCTTTAATTCCATTTCCCAAGAACTTTCTGAAGTACCCCTGTCTTCGACGACTCATGCAGCTATGGCATGAGGTGCATACACAGTAGCTGCTAGTGTCTGTGATAGTGGGAGATGGGCACGACCTGCATCTCACTCAGTAGGAGAATGGCTAAGGAAACAGCGACACATGACGACACACTCACATGCTTTATAGCCCTAAGGAAACGGGCAGGGGCCGGCGCTGTGGCGTAGTGGGCTAAGCCTCTGCTGTGGGGCCGGCATCTCACATGGATGCCGGTTTGTTTCTCGGCTGTTCCTCTTCCGATCCAGCTCCCTGCTAATGGCCTGGGAAAGCAGCAGAAGATGGCCCAAGTGCTTGGGCCCCCAACAGCTCTGGCTGTTGTGGCCATCTGGGGAGTGACACCTCTGAACTCCCACGAGTATAAAGCTCCTGGCATTGCAGTTATCTAGGGAGTGAGCCAGCAAATGGATGCTCTCACTCTCTCTATCACTCTGCCTTTCAAATAAATAAAATAAAATTTAAAAAATCATAGAAAAATTGAATTAAAAATAATTAAAGAATGCCATATTGTAAGTTCAAATTCAAGAGGGGCTAGGGGGTGCCGAAGCTTGTTCCCCGGTGAGCCTCTGGGTAAATCCACCCTGCCTGACCCCAGGGCTCCCTCTAGTGGTGCACCGTGGAGTCTTTACTTCTATCCACAGCACCCTGCCCAGGGCTCTGTGAGGGGCCAGTTCAAACACACGTGTCGTGTCTGCTCTCCCTCCCAGGGGTCCGCTGGAGCCAGCTGCTGCTGAGGGGCTCCCTCGTGGGCGCTGAGTGTCTTCTCTGATTCACCCTCACCCTATACCGCGGGCGTCCTCCCTTCCCGGGGGTCTCCGTACATTCTCTTAAGTCTCAGGGCACCTCACAGGCCAATTCCCGAAGCTACTTCAGCCAAGCAGAGGCTCAGGCAGGGGACGCAGTGCTGGACGCAGAACTTATGGGCAGGGCTCTGCTCCCCAGCTGCCAGGCCGAGCCCTCGGGGGCCTCCTGGGACCTCTCGCTCCCACAGCCTCCAGGGCCTTCCGGCAGCAAACTCTGTTGGCACCATGTCCCAGGTAGATGCAGAATTCACCGACCCCTCGGCACCTCTGCTGCCGGCACCCTGGTCAAAGCACCATCACTTGGGCCAGGATTTTAACACATCTCCATACATACATTCTTCTCTGCTTCCGCCTCTGGCCCCAACAGTGTTTTCCCACAGAGCCAAGTGACCTTGATAATGCGTATGTCGGATGATGTCACTGCTTTGCTTTGTGGGGCCCCCCTCCCCTGCAGAGGGAAAACCGAATACTTCCAGCTGCCTGCAGCACCGTCTAGGGTGACTGCACCCCCCAAAGCTCTCACTTCCAAAGTCTCCCCCTTCCTCACACCTCTGCAGGCACACTGGCTGCTCCACACACTCCTGCTGAGACATTCCTGTCTCAGGGCCTTTGCACCTGCTGTCCCCTCTGCCGGAGACACTGTGTCTTCACAGAGCTGCACGGCTCACTCCCTGTTCGCCGGGTCTCACCTGCTCAAGGGCGGCCCTCTCTGACCGCCTTGTATGATGTGACAATCCCTCTCTTCTCACACAGACACAGTATTTTCCATAGCACGAGTATTAATTTGCTTGTTGTCTCTCCCATTCACCAGAGTGTGAATTCTGCAGGGGCAGGGACTTTTTGTTCGCGGCTGAATGTCACGCGCCTAGACAGTCCTTGGCATGAAACAGAAGCTTAAAAACTACCAATGAGTGGACAGACGGAGAGACCCCCCGCCACCCCGCCCAGGGCTGTGATCCTTCCTGCACGGGTCACATCCAGTAACAGAAAACTCCAAGTGGACAGAGGAGCCAGTTCCACAAAACTAGCGTGGTCAAGAAGTTAACAGAATTAAACTCTCCGTGGTTGGGGCCAATCATTATGTTTGGAGGTGGGCGGTATGTGCTAGACATCACCCAAGCACCCTACCTTTTCTAGTACTCACATAACGGACATTTCCCTCCTGTCCCACAGGAGGGTCTGGGGCCGAGGGAGGTTAGGGGCTTGCCCAGGACACCCAGGCACAGCGTCTGACCCCTGCTCCTCCCAGGACTGCCCAGGAGGCTGCGCTCCACCTCACTGCTGTGGAAGGGCAGCACCCAGGAGGCCCTGAAGCTGCTCAAGGAGGACGTGCTGGTGGCCGACCCAGGAACCAGGTGAGGGGAGCGCCTGGTGCCCTCCGGGAGACGCACCCTTGTGGGAGAGAGCCTCATCCCAGACGGCCTGAGCCAGCAGAGGTTCTGGGGTCGCCGGCTGCTGCCCCTAATCCACAGCGAGAGAGAATGAGGCCCAGAGACGGAAGGCAGAGCGAGGCAGGGTCCGGAACCCAGTTCCGTTTGACCCGCGTTCTCTCCATTCAGAACTCGACGTTAGCTGAGCACCTGCTGAGTGAGGGTCACAAACAAAGCCAGCCAGGCTTCTCCTCTTGGTGAGGGAGATGCAGAGAACACGTGAGCGAGGTGCACTCAGGCTTCCTCATGATGGGAATAAACGGGATGCTGATGAGAGCCGGAGTGGACAGCTGGGTGGCCGCTGGGCAGAGAAGCCGGGTCTGGGAGCAGAGGGCAGCTGGCATGTCACCCCCCTGCCTCAGAGGCCCCTTCCGTGCCTGCGGGCAACGCCCCCTTCCAAACTTGCTCCTCTGTTTCTCCAAATGGCGAGCCGCAGCCCCCACTTCCCATCCGGACGAGAACGCACAAAGGCGCGTTCCCTCTCAGCTCCGCGCTACCCAGTGCCACCGGCCGGGGGCAGGGGGCGGAGGGCGGAGGGCGGAGGACAGGGCCATTTCAGGAGGGAAGGGGCTATCTGGGGTCCCGCGAGGTTCATCCAAGGTCGCGCATCCTAGTTCCCACCGCTGTCTCTCCAGGTGCCATTACAGCACGCTGGCCTTCTCGCTCCTGGCGCATGTCCTGGCGGCCCACACCCCACAAGGGGACTACCAGCGCTGGGTCTCGGACAACGTGCTGGAGCCGCTGGGGATGGTGGACACGGGCTTCGACCTCACGGCCCCGGTGCGCGCCCGCCTGGCCGCCGGCTTCTACGGCAGCGGGCGGCCGGCGCCGCTCTACGACCTGGGCTGGTACCGCCCGTCGGGGCAGATGTACTCCACCCCCGCCGACCTGGCCAAGCTGGCCACTGCGCTCCTGGGCGGTGGGCCCCAGAGGCTCCTGCGGCCCGACGCCGCCAAGACGCTGCTGGCGCCGCTGCTGGCGTGCCCGGGCGCCTACTTCGCCAACGAGACGGGCACGCCGTGGGAGTTCCACGCGCAGCGGGGCTACCGCGTGGTGCGCAAGGACGGCGACCTGGATGGCTACGCCGCCACCTTCTCGCTGGTGCCCCCGCTGCGCCTGGGCCTCGTGCTGCTGCTGGCCGGGCCGCGGCCTCCGGGACCTGACCTGGTGGCGCAGGCCTACGACGTGCTGCTGCCCGCCATGGAGACGGCGCTGCGGCAGACCGAGCCGCCCCCGGCGCCGCCGCCCAGCGCGCGCCCCTTCGCCGGCTTCTTCACCTTCGCCAACCTGACCTTCTACGAGGTACACGCGGGGCCGGCGGGCGAGCTGCGCCTGCGCCAGTTCGGGGCGCGCGTGGAGGCGCTGGTGCCGCCCGCCTTCCGCACGCTGGCGCTGCGCCACGTGCGCGGCCGCGTCTTCCAGCTGCACGTGGCCCGCGAGTTCCCGTGCGCGGTGCCGCTCGGCGACGCCTGGCTCTCGCTGGAGGCCCAGCACGGGCAGCTGGTCAACTTCTACCCCCTGGATGGGCACGGGCTGTCCCCGGGCTTCGATGTGCCGGGCCTCAACACGTACCGGGTGCTGCGGCTGCAGCAGAAGCCCGGCTTCGGGGCGCAGTGACCCGGGCCGCCGGGCTTCGCAGCCTGGGGTTGGGAAGGGGGAGGCCCCGGGGATGCCGGTGGGAGAACCCTAGCGGCTGGCCTGGCGGTCCCCAGCCGGGGCGCAGCCAGTTACACACACACACACACACACACACACGGGAGGAAGAGGTGTGTGCAGAAATTTAGAAACATTTAAGAGTTTTAGTGGACACCGAAACACGGAGACCAGCGTCCTTTTGTGTCTGCTGAATCTAAGAGTACGGGCTTGTGTTTTGCCTTTAAAAAAAAATAGACCTTCCTGAGTTAGAATTTTCAGAAAATGAGACGCACCCCAGGGCACAGCTGGGTGACTCGGACAGCAGCCTGCAGCGGCCCGGCCATCAGGACGCAGACGGCTTCTTCCCACTGCTCTTCCTCTGCGGGCAGCTCCTGCAACCCCTGATGGGCTTTCTGTCAGGATGGATTAGTTGCGCCTTCTAGAACGTCATAAAAATGGAAGCGTGCAATGTAGTCCTTTGTGTCTCTCTTCTTTGGCCCAGCGTGCTGTTTTTGAGGTTCCCCGGTGGCTTTGTGTCAACAGTTTGTTCCCTTTCATTGCATTGTGTGGCTGTGCCACATGCGTTTATCCATTCACTTGTTGATGGACGCTGGGTGCGTCCCAGGGTGGGGGTGTCCTGAAGAAGGTTCCGCGCCGGTCTGTGTGTGAATGCGTGCCGTCTCTCGGGTGGATGTCTGTGCGTGGTGGCCGTGCAGCTCTCCGAAGCGCTTGTTCTGCCAGGGGTCTTCACAAAGGTCATGAGAAATGCTCATCATGAGAAAGAATGCATGGAGTCCCTCCCCCTCCTTTTTTTTTTTTTTTTTTTTTGGCACCAAAGCCAGTCTATGTTTCAGTTCAGTTCTATGATCTTCTTGAAGTACCCTGGTATTTTACTTTCCCAAGCAGCGGTATGTGATGGCTCTGTTGCTGCCCACGGTTTTGCTGACACTTGGCATTGTCAGTCTTTTTATCTTCAGCCAGGCCAGTGATTGGGAAGGCCTGGCTCACTGTGGTTTTAGCTGTGTTTTCCCAGAGGGCTTCAGAAAGTTCGTGGAAGGGCAGGGGCTGTGGCGCAGTGGGTAAAGCTGCCGCGTGGAGCACCTGCCTCTCATATCCGGGTGCCGGGGGTGAGTCTCGCCTCTGCTTCTGATCCAGCTTCCTGCTGACACGCACCCTGCGAGGCAGCAGATCATGGCCCAAGTACCTGGGCCCCCGCCACCCACGTGGGAGACTCGATGGAGTTCCTGGCTTCTGGCTTTGGCCTGGCCCAGCCCTGGCTGTTGCTAGCGTTTGGGAAGATCCCGATGGAGGATCGGTCTCTGTGTTTCAAATAAAATGAAGATAAATAAATCGATAAAAAATTTAAAGTTCACAAAAAATGCATATTATGAAAAAACTATACATAGATTTCAATTTTTTTGGTACCAGAATAAACTCGTCTTTTAATTCAGTGTTCCCTGAACTTTTTGCAGCACCCTTCCACGTTTTGTAAATATTTTCCTGAGGTCTTTGATTTGACTTTTCATCTGCTTAATGGTGGATTTTGAAGAGCAGAGTTCTGCAATTTTGATGAAGCACGTGCCTGTTGAATATACAATTTGGACTTGTATCTGGTGTGTCTTTTACATGCAAGTGTAAGAAATAATCGCTGTGTCCTTGATCCAGATTCCTCCCTGGAAACCTCTTGGGACTCTGTAGCACAAGCTAGAGGCCGATGTGCACACAGTTGGGACCCCGGACGAGAAGCCCTCCCTGCCCTTTCCTGGCCACACCTACGCTGCTTGGCAGCCACACCCCTTCCTCCTCCTGGCAACCGCCAGTCTGTTTGACGGGTTCAAGGTTGTTATCTAAATGGGTCAAGTGGTAGATGCGCTTTTGCTGCAAGTAGCAGGGACAGATTTCTCTCCGTGGCCGCGTGGCGGTTCCAGGGAGGGACCCAGCACCATTGGTTTAACCATTCGCTTGCTGAGGGATGCCTGGGCGCTTTCCAGTTTTGAGCTAGTGTGCATCAAGCTGCCGCGAGCTTGTGTTTACAGGCGTTTGTGTGAACATACGTTTTTATTTTTCTGGGATAAACGCCCAGCAGTGAAACTGACGGGTGCGATGGTAGTTGCATGTTTAGTGTATAAGGAAACTGCCAGAGCGTTCCAGAACGCCCGTGCCATTTTACGTTCCACCAGCAATGTATGAGCGATTTAGCTTCCTCACATTTTTTTGTTATTCTAGCATTCGGTATTAACACTAGCAAAAAGCACTTTTTTTAAAAGATTATTTATTTATTTGAAAGTCAGGGTTACACAGAAAGGTGGAGAGAGAGAGAGAGAGAGAGAGAGGAGATAGTCTTCCATCTGCTGATTCACTCCCCAGATGGCCGCAACGGCCGGAGCTGCGCCGATCCGAAGCCAGGAGCCAGGAGCTTCTTCCGGGTCTCCCATGTGGGTGCAGGGGCTCAAGGACTTGGGCCATCTTCTACTGCTTTCCCAGGCCATAGCAGAGAGCTGGATAGGAAGTGGAGCAGCCGGGACTTGAACCGGCGCTCATATGGGATGCCGGCACTGCAGGCAGTGGCTTTACCCGCTACGCCACAGCGCCGGCCCCAACAGTAGCTTTTTTATTGATTCTGATAGGTTTGTAGTGATATAGCAGTATGTTTTTAAAAAAATGTTTGGTTATTTCTTTTTATTGATTTGAAAGGGAGAGAGAGAGAGAAATATCTTACATTTATTGGTTCATTCCCCAAATGTCCACAACAGCTGGGGCTGGGCCAGGTGGAAGTCGGGACCAGGAACTCCATCTCGGTCCCCCAAGTTGGTGGCAGAGACCAAAGTGTGCCATCGCCTGCTGTCTCTGAGGGTGGATGTTATTAGGAAGCTGGAATTGGGAGCAGAGCTGGAACCCAAGCCTGGCCTCTCCTACTCAGGGTGTGGGCATCCCAAGTAGTGTCTCAAGCACTGTCAATGCTTGCCCCATTTGGCTTTAATTTGCATTTTACTACTGATGATGTTGAATCAAAAACTATTTATCTAAGAAGCAGGGGGCGGGGGAGAGAAACTCCCATCTGCCGGTTCATCCCCTAAATGCCTACAGTGGCCAGGACTGGACACACGTGCTCCAGTGTGGCACACCAGTATCTTAGTTGCTAAACCGAATGCTTACCCCAAACCCACATTTAATCCCATTTCTATGCATTTTTTGAAGCCTCCCCCCATTTTTCTCTTTAAGAAGCTGTTCAAAGGCAAATGATATTTCTGTCTAAGCCTAAACTTGTACAAAGCAGGGAGGAGATCAGCACCTTACGGGGGCCCTGGAGGAGAGAAGGGGGATACCCCGGACTGGAGAGGCCTGGGAGCAGGCAGCAGGGAGAGCAGCACCCTGAGGGCCCAGTGGTCACAGCAGGGCTGAATTCCAGCCCCTCTGCCACGTGTCATGTGTCCTGGTACAAATTCATGCCTCCCAGATCACTGTGATGGCCCTGCAAAAGGCCCCAGAACCTTGGCACAGGTCTGAGGAGGACTTGGTTCACTCCCTACATGCTGGCAACAGCTGTGGCTGGGGCAGAACGAAGCCAAGTACCCAGAACTCCATCCGGGTCTTCCAAGTGGGTGGCAGGGACTCAAGCGCTTGGGCCATCTCCCCCTGCCTTCCCAGGCACATCAGTTGGGAGCTGGGTCGGGGGGAGGAGCCAGGACTGGAAACAGGCACTGTGATTGGGATGTGGGTGTCCCAAACAGCAGCACAGCAGTCCCAGACGGGAGCTGGAAGCTCTCTGGCTTGCAGAGGCCATGGATCAGGTGACCTTGGAGAATCTTTCATTCGCTGGTTCACTCCCCAAATGACTGCAACAGCCAGGACTGGGCCAGGCCAAAGCCAGGAGCCAGGAGCCTCATCCGGGTCTCCCATGCAGGTGGCAGGGGCCCATGTACTCCGCCCATCTTCTGCTGCTTTCCCAGATACATTAACAGGAAGCTGCATGAGAAGCAGAGCAGCTGGGACTTGAACTGGCACTGTGATACGGGATGCTGGCGTTGTAAGCAGTGACTTAACCTACTGCACCGCATGGGCCCATCTGAATATTTTTAAGCTATGTAATTTTTGTTTCAAACAGCACATCTAAATCCAGTCTTCAAAACAGTTAACAGCAGGCCCAAGCTGGTGCTGCACAAGGTCCCAGGCACCTGCTTGGAGCCCAGGGGCAGCAGCTGAAGAACACTCCGTCCACGCCCGCCTCGGGTGCTCCAGCCAAAGGCCCTTTGCACCTGCCTGTCCTCACATTTCCACGCGGCTGCTTCCTTCTCCTGCTTCAGCCTGGGCTCTGTTCAGGAGTGGCCTCCCTCGCCATGGTAGCAGAGCCACCGGCCTCCCCACCTGGCCTCCTGCAGCCCTGCCGGTCTCCTCCCCGGCACCTTTGACCATTTGCCGTTCTGTTTACCTGACTACGTAGGGGCCGTGGAGCTGGCAGAGGTGGGCAGTTCAGCTCCCGTGCGCCCGGGTGGAACCTCAGCTCTCTGGGTCCAGGACGCACGTGCTCAGGGGCTGTCTGCTGAGTGGGGGAGTCAGGCCCAGAGAGGGCAGCAGCATGCTGAGGTGCCACAGACATAGTGGCAGAGCCAGGATTGGGGTTGGGGGTGGAGCCACCTGCCGGTCTTCCATGGGCCAGGGGCTAACAGTCATCCCGGGCAGCCGGGAGGCAGCAAGGACTGGGCAAGGACAGACACGTGCGGGACCGGCTGCAGGAACGTGTGCTTCTCACGCTGACCTGGAGGACTGCAGGTGACGTGGGAAAGCAAGGTGTTAGGATGTCTTGCTCCACCTGGGAGGGGTAGGCGTCCCTCTAGGAAAGACCCGAGCCAAGGTGTGTGGCCGTGGAGCTGGGGAGGTGAGGCCTCAGCCCCTTCGCACCTGGAGGAGCAAGAGCCCCGGTCAAGGGGATGCACTCACGCCCAGGCCAGAGAGGAAGCCTGGATCAGCTCATTCCTAGGACCTCCCACCTGCCTCAGCAGGGGCGGGTTTATAGAGAGACTTGGGATGCCCACAGCCCAAGGGGTGACTTTTCCTGCTGCAGTTCCGGGTGTCAGGGACAAGTGAGCACCCCCCCACACACCCCTGAGTCACAGGACTAAAGGAGCTGGGAATGAAGTCAGGCAGTGTCTAGGTAATGGCCCCAGCCGCCCTGAAGGCAAGGACGAAGCACCCATGGGACTCAGCAAAGGGAGCCAGCTCGGCCGCGCTCACCAGCGGGTCAGGGAGCTCCGGGCTCGGCCTCTGGGATGCTGCCGCTGCTTGTACCTCTCCCTGCGGCACGTGTGAACTGCAGGTGGGGCACTGTGCTGAGTGTGTGTCCCTCCCTCTCCCCCGGTCCACGGGCTCCCTCTGTGGCCTCGGAGGCTCTTGCCAGGGTTTAGTGTCCCTGCAATAAGAGAGGCAGGGTCCCGACTCCGGCTGGTGTTCCCAGGGGACCGG